CCAGAGAGGTGGTAGATGCCCCATCCCTGGAAACATTCCAGGTCAGGTTGGACGGGGCTCTGAGCAACCTGATCTGGTTGAAGCTGTCCCTGCCCACGGCAGGGGGGTTGGACTAGATGACCTTTAGAGGTCCCTTCCAACCCAATCTATTCTATGATTCTATGATTTTCCTATTCTATGATTCTAAAAACTTTCCAAAGGTATGCAGTAATTTGCTGGCAAAACCAGGAACAAGCAGCATTTTTTGCTGCTTTGTCCAAGTCCTTAATTACAAAATCATCTATTATCTCTGAAGAGGCTACAGAACACCTAACTATGGTTATTGTTTTGTCTCAATTTCCTACTATTCTTAAATTATTTTTACAATGGACCACAATTCCGCATTTTGGCATTTTCTTTGATCTTTCTGTTTACCTCCAGAGTGACCTCAGAAAGAATGTGATGTGGCAGCTGAGAGCACATGAGTCCTAACCCAACGATGGCTTCCAGCTCCCCACAGTCTGCAGCGTGCTCCAGGTGAAACAGGGCTGACTCCTGATCCCATTCCTTGTCTTTCTCACAGAAACGCCCAGCTTCATGATAGCGAACCATGGCCAAATGAACCTAGAACACAATTGTACAGGAAAGAGACAGAAGTATTAAGTATAGATCTGATTCTTCAGAAGCCCTGTGCCTATACTTTACTTAGGCACAAAAATACATCTCTGAGGTGACTACTTGATTAAAGCTAATTGTGTACCTCTGTGACTGAACAGAGGACTAGTTTGATAACACACAGACTTGGAGCCTCACTTGTGCCTGGACAGATTAAACAGGCAAAAAACAATGATTATACACAGTGCAGCTGCCCCTCCAGTTCTGTAAGCTTAGACCACATACAGCTTTATAAACCTGACTAGTAGAGATAGAAGACATAATTCAGCAAGACAGTAGCTGCCACAGCATCTTCCCACATCAGTGTGCCCTAAGTAGTATCCCAGCAGGTTGCCACACCAGAGCACCAGGTCTTAGGGGCATGTCCCAGTGTATCTGCTAGGGCCTTAGAGACCTTTAGGAGGGAGTTGTAGTTAAAGGCACCCAGCCTGCAACTGCCTAACACGCCAGCCAGCAGCGCAAACAGCAGTGACCATGGGTCACAGACTTCTATGTACAGCAAGGGCCCTCACAGGAAAGGAATTAACCTGAGGCGTAGAAAATCAAGAAGGTTATCCAGGGTAAAACCCTCATAGCACTGAAGCTGTGCTGGTTTTAGCTGGGATAGAGTTAATTTTCTTCACAGTAGCTAGTATGGGTCTGTGTTTTGGATTTGTGGTGGAAACAGTGTTGATAATACAGGGATGTTTTTGTTGTTGCTGAGCAGTGCTTACACAGAGTCAAGGCCTTTTCTGCTTCTCACACCAGCCCACCAGCAAGTGCTGGGGGTGCACAAGAAGTTGGGAGGGGACACAGCCAGGACAGCTGACCAAAGGGATATTCCATACCATATGGCATCATGCTCAGCATATAAAGCTGGTGGAAGAAGAAGGAAGCAGGGGGATGTTCAGAGTGATGGTATTTGTCTTCCCAAGTAACCGTTATGTGTGATGAAGCCCTGCCTTCCTGGAGATGGCTGAACACCTGCCTTCCAATGACAAGTAGTGAATGAATTCCTTGTTTTGCTTTGCTTGTATGAGCGGCTTTTGCTTTACCTATTAAACTGTCTTTATCTCAACCCATAGCTTTCTCACTTTTACTCTTCTGATTCTCTCCCCCATCCCAGCCAGGGGGAGTGAGTGAGCAGCTGTGTGGGACTTAGCTGCTGGCTGGAGTTAAACCACGACAGAAGCCTTTATTGTCAGTGGGGGCAGGATTTCATTCCAAACATGTCATAGGATTTTGAGGGTTCCGCCCCCCCCAAGGGAAAGGCAGGTTTCTTCTCAAACCTTTCAGTTTGAGAACATCTGAGGCTCTCAGAATGTTCAGAAAGATCTACATCCTGTGTTTTGAGTGTGGGCTTACCACACATACCATATAGAAACCCAAACATTTGCATTGTATGGTATAGTCTGGAGTAAAAAGAGTTGGTCCATGCTACCATTTTTCAAGAGCCCAGCCTTGCCTATCTGCAAGGTATGTGGGTCAGGCACACCATATCTATCCCATTGTATCTTCTCTGCACAATGCCTCTGGAAAGGCAGGCGAACCAACAGCAGGGTCCTTCCCAAAGGAGCCCAGATCTTGCAAGTCCAAAAGCATATGGAATTCATGGGTTCCCGAGCTTAGGTGTCCCTTATAAAACATGATTAGGTGACAGAAAGCTATAGAGATGTTATTTATTTTCAACTGCACAAATAACTCATGCAGGGCAACACCTCTAAGTAATAAATACAGGATGTTTCTTTTCAGTTGGAAAGAACAGGATTACTAAACCCATCCTACCTTCCCAAGGACTGACTTCCCAATTTTCTTTTCAAGTTCTAGTGCATTGAGCCTCTGAATTTCTTGGGCAACACAGGATGGTCTGTGGATGTGGACTCTGGAAGAGTTGTAGAGATTCCATTTCTCCACACTGATCTGAAATAGGGAATATACCATTATTTCTCTCCAAAATTAAAATTTCCATACTATTCATATGGATTAGCATCCAGAAATCAAAGCCTCTGTTAATATTATTACTTATTAGTAAATACTGTAATTTAAGACATGGCTTTCAAAAGTCATGTTAGTAGCTGAATAAATGGTTATTATTCTTTAAAGAAACTGAGTAAAGCCCCCTATTTCTAATCCCAACATCAAATATTTTTCATAAGTGACAGCAGCGAAGCAAAGCATTATCTTTAAGTTCTGAATCAGAAAAAAGGTACTTATAAAAATAAGCACCTGAACAGTCACACTGCAAGGACTGAGGTTATCCATGCACAAAAAAATTAAACCCATACTTTTCCGGTCCGAATTTCACTTCAAAACATTTTAAATGCTGCTTGCATTCTACAACTCTAGAAAAATGAAAAGTAACAATGCAGAAGATGATAGGCAGGTACATGCATTGGTGTTTCTCAGGATGTCCAACACAAACAAGAACAAAAAACTTTTGAACATACTGGGTGGATGGGACACAGTAGCCAAAAAAAATCCTATCAAAATGAAAGCCTTTGGAGGTACACAAGGGAAACACAACAGGGAAGGTTACTGGCACAGAATTTCAGTCTGTTAAAGCTCTTTCAATTTCCTGAAACAGCAATATAAAATCGTTACAAGGAAATTCGGAAAAGCATATCTAATTAAATTAGTCGTTGTTGTCAAAGCTCTGTTTTTTTTCCTTACAGAATAGAGTTATTTAGCCACAGAAACTAATTATCACAGAAACGATATTTTGTAAAAACATACAAGAAGGTCTGGTCTTCCCTACCTCAGTTAGATACAGAGTGGAGAGAGCTACTGTCACGTATTTCAAACACTGCATGTTTTTAAAAAATCATCCAACCACATATGGGACACAATTCCAAAAATAAAGTGAAGAAAGGAAATATAATCTAGTTAGGCAGAAAAAAAATCCATAGAATTATAATTTTTTTTTTAAAGTGAGAAGCCCATGCATAATCACTAATTTATGTCAGGGATCAGTTAGAGAGGTGACAATTTGTTTATAACAGTACTTCTTCAACTGGAAAATAAAGATGAAACAAAAAAGGAAACACCACAGAGAGGTAAGTTAATATTAATAAACATATTCTGTAGCTGAAAAGGAAGGAAAACTGACATCTGATTTAGTGCTGTGAAGTTAGATGGCAGATGAGTGGAACAAAGGACAAGCAGAGTGGCAAACTCATCATCTATGAACACTTCTGCTTTATTTACCCTTGCAGAGCTTCCCAAACTGTCTTCATCAGATTCATGTCTTCGGTTGTTGTTTGAATGGCCCTACGTTAATGTAAAGATTTGCATCATTTAATTTGCAGCAACTGATGTATGCCAGTTATCCCTCTAGACTATTCCTATCCAGTAAAATTAATAGTGACAATGACCAAAATAGTTTCCACTGGATTGTTTTCTCTCAGTGGTATCGCAGTATAAAAAGAAACATACTGAAATGGTAAAGAATACGGTACACCCAGGCTTTAATCCTGTAAACTGGATATCCCATGACAAATACCTTGCCACTTCAAAGGTGACAAAAGGAGCGTATCTTTGGAAGCAATATTCTCTTTCCTATCTTCTAATTAAATATCTAGTTAAGATCTTCAGGTCAAAAAGCATTTATTTAAAGGTTTGTATTTTAAAGGAGTAACCAACTAACCCACAGGAATTCTGAAGTTGCATATTATTAGCTGACAACATCAGCTAATAATATAACACAGAACATTAAGTTCTGTGATATCTCAAGCCATATAAAGTCATAGAAAGTAGAGAGGGTAAAAGAGTCTGAAAGTAGATCATATTCATGGATTCCATATGACAAGAAGCTGGCTACATTTCTCAAATGCAATACAGAATGCTCAAAAAAAACCCCCAACCCCAACAATACGCAATCAAATGTAATGTTTGAAATTAAGCTCCTCGTTACAAATAGTCTTTTTCCTGTAAAAGTGTCATTAACATTCCCATGATGAGTAAGTAATTTTGCAACATGTGGGAATTTCTTTCCAACTGTTTCCTCTGTTTAGAAAGTCTAGATCAAGAGGAATAAAAAAAATAAAATTCTTCTATGGAAACAGTTCAAGTATGAGCAGGCCCAACTCTGCTAAACCCTGAGTCAGGTTCTTACCCTCTCTCTATGATCCAGATCTTCTAGCTCACTTCTCTTTTCACTGGGATATCCACTGTCTCCACCATTTTCAAAATCCTACAGAAGATAAGAACAAAACATCACAGCATTACCACTACCCTTTGTAAGGATCTCAGCTTAACATTTCCCACAGAGGAAACCTCCTGCTCGTTCAATGAGATATGTTGGATGAATATACTGGATGAAAATGATTGTATGTTGTGCTACCTCTGACAGACAGAACAGGACTTAATGACCCAGAAGGTACTGTCCAAGCTTGTGTTCTCTCTTAGATAATAAAAAAAATAATCAAGGACTTACATACTTTATCAAACCAAGAGTCCACTTAATGTAGTTTTCAGTCTTCAGTGGTAGCCAGTTAAAAGATAAAACAGTAACTGACAGCCCCTGGTACTAAGGTCCTAGTGTTGGAAAATTCCCATTGCAAACTTATTGCAGTCTCCTCAGGTGAGGTTCTCTAACATCCCACAGTACCAGTATTTGCAGACACCTAATCAATGGGGATTCTGTTTAGCTTTCATACCACAGCAGTTGGCACAAGAACCAAAGACACAACATGCAGGCAAGGGAACAGACACATGCTTTAGTTATCTGTTAAAATACACCAGATGCAAATAAATTTCTGGAGGAAAAAAATAATTAATACTATTTTAAAATAAAATGTTCTTCCTTTATTAGAAACAACAAATGCATGCAAGTAACATGACCTGCAGCAATGAAAGCAGGCAGAGCACCTTTACGTGCTTTTACTGAACAAAGCCTTCAGGCAGTCCTTTAAAGTCACATTCATTAAGGAACTGCAATCTCATTTTCTGTTGGGAAGACACTCACCCTTTGGTTATCAAGCTGATCATAGTCTTTGTGAACCAAGTTATCTACTTCATTGAACACAGGCCAATCTAGGAAGAAAAATATTTGCTTCTTATCGTAAGGATAACATGCTTGAGGACAAAGCTCTAGATACCATCATTTTACCACAGTTTTTTCACAGAAGCATTTGTGCATTAATTATCTACACAGAAGTACTTCTAGTTTTATTTCTGCTCAAAGAGGAATGCTAGAGACAAGTATTCTGGACTAAATACAACATGCTGTTGTATTCAAAACCAACAAAATAAAACAAGTCACTGCCAAATGTTCAGGAACCCCCAAGGAAGTTATGTATGAGGCTCACTCACTAAGCATGTCCATCTTTTGACTGTGAGGGGTTGCTGAGGAAGGAGAGCAGGGTAGAGAGTCAAATGCTACATCGCTCATGCTTTCATCTCCTGAGTTTTCAGACAGGCGGAAGAGCAGAGGGGGCCGACTACCAGAGACTGTTCTCACCCGGCTGCTGCCACATTTTTCCTCTGTGCCACGGAGAATTGTTTGAGCAGATTCCTTGGTAAATTAACAAGAAAGTCCCATGAATAATGCTTCTCTGTATTCTAAGCATGCTACATAAGCCAACATGAATGTTTACTAGGAGTACTCTACAAAAGGGGAGGGGTATAAATATGCACATGTATACATAACTATTTGCTTTGAGAAGTTCTACACCCCAACAAAATATCAAGTCCTGGCATTGTTACAGTCAGAGAGAGTTCTGTTTAGGACTGAATTTCACTCAAAGTGTTTAATCAAGTCCAATTCCCACTACTATCAGTTGAAACTGAGATCAGTTCTATTCTTTTTTTCTCCCCAAATTCGGTTTGTGAGATACAAAACTTACTAATGATTTCAGCATTCAAAGATATACTTGGTCCTAAATATGCACGTGTTACAAGGTTCCCTATTAATTAAAGCTACAGCATTAATTCAGAGACAAGTATGGATAAGTCAGCTTTAAACTGTTGTATTTTTAAACTGCAACATTAGTGATTAAGGTGATTTTATTTGCCATGTAAATAGCATATTTCAGTTTTATTTACAGGGCTTTTAAAGTTAGAATAAACCAGCTATACTGCTTAGTTACACTTTTTTCATCAAGCACTTACAAGCAATTTTTTATTACAATCCAAGGCATCTTTCTCTTTGGATGAAAGATCAAATGGTGCAAGCCCCATGCTTTTGCAAATCTTGTTGCAGAAATGAGAATGAAAGAACAAGGCCATACCTCGAACACCTACGGCATCAAAAAAAAAAAAAAGTAGTGAAGAAAGGGTTTACTCAAAGTTTATATGACTGTTTGCTTATTAAAAGCTAGAAGTCCCAAAGCATTTTCTAAAAAGTCAAAAGAGAAAGAAAGACAAAAAGTGCTTTGTAGCACACACAGATCAACCCACTTCTATTTTATTTTAACACCTGTAAGGGTTTTTCACTCTCTCTGCAAGAGAGAGTGAAAGGAAGTCTGCAAAATATCCAAAAGCTATGTATGCACAGGATATAGTAATAAATTAATTTGCCTGCATCATTGAGAAACATGCCTAAATGTGATCCTTCTTACAAAACTTGCTGTGTCCTATAAACAACTTCATGCATGGACACTTGGAGCTTTAAAAATATGCAAGACTTATCTCTCCACATTCAGCTGTATCCATTCCTGCAATGTAGCAAGGAAATTAAAGGCCACGATTATTGCTCTCACATTGTAGGAAGCTACTTAATTTCATTACTTGTTTGGTTTAAGAGTAGGCCAGGAGACATAAGCCAAGATCAGCTCTCTTTTTAAATCTGCCCTTGCCTGACAGCTGCCCTGTTTGGGGACTCCTTACAATAGAACTTCCCCAGCTGTTTACAAGACCTTCAGAAACGTGCCTGCTCAATCAGCTGTGTAGCGGCTACTCAGCAGACAGCTGGGAAAAGAAAATAAGCATCCATTAGCATGTGAAACAGGATCATTGATTTTACCTAGGTTGCCATCTCCAAAATCTGTACCGTTCTCTGTATGGATCTGAGGGTCTGTGTAAAGATCTCCAACTCCCTGGATATCAACAATAATGAGTTGGTGTCCTGAGCGCTCAAAGGTGAAGTGACTGAAGGCCTGGGAAGAACCATAGAAGATGTCTGAGAAAACTCTCCCTTGATCTACTGAAAACAGCAACACATATTCACCTCTTACAAATGGGCAAAGAAGTCTGATAACCCTATTGGTGAAATATAACTGGTATAAACATCGTGATGAAAGCAATGATAGACTAAAAGCATGTAGTAGATTGCTTCTCCAACCTATACTCAGAGATGGGCTAAAAGAGATAGGGTGAAAAGCAGCAGTGGGAACATGCAGGGGAGAGGAGATTGCTTTATTCCTCCTTCCTGTACTGGAGATTCTGTTTTCCACTACAGTCTTCACCTTAAGAAGTGGGGAGCTGCCTGGCAGGGGGAACAACAGTGGGCTCTGAAGCCAGTGCAGAGTAACTTCTGCATAAACATCCTGGCTGTGCCTGTGGATCTCCAAGCTCTGCAGCCCTGGGACACTGCGTCCTTCTGCCAACAGGCAAAGCCCTGCCACATTTTGAAAAAAGAAAAAAAAAAGTGAGCATCCCCACAAATTCTCCTTCCCCTACTATGCCCTCTGGGAGGTCAGATCACCCTGAATGGCTGATCTGGCTATACATTCATGTATCAGATAATGAAATGTACATTTGTACTCTTTAAATGCAGCATTTCAAGAATCAGGTATAAAAAGCCCTTCTCTTTGGCATAAAGCTGAGACATTAGGAATCTTCTGGGAAGGCCTCCAAAAAAGCACAGCCAGGCCTCAGGGAGGTGACTGGTGGTGATAGACAAACATTTTAACTGCAGCAAGTCTCACGGAACATTTTGTTCCCAACCTGTGAAAGCATAGCACTGATTCAGTGTACAAAAGACAGTCCAGAACATAAAACCTCTGCTTACATTAAGCACCATGACAAATACCTTAAAAACAGGGAAAAAAAATGAAAAGAACAAAACCCTCAAGCCCCAGTAAAACACTCCTTTGCTACGCTGACCACTTTGCATTTTTCACCAGTATTTTAAAGTTCTTTCATGAGATACAAGAATCACTTGAAATCTGTACTTGTATTTCTATACACACCCTCAGATTCACCTATTCAGAGGCTGTAGCTGAAAAAAACAGATTCCTATATGCAAATGGACTAGATGTTTAGTTACACGAGTTGGGTATCTGCCACCTCCTTTTGTATATTACATGAGGCACCAGAAGACTATTTAGTACATAGCACATGACAGGTCTCTCTCCCTGCCTTAATTCGAAGAGAGTTTGAAATATGTCGATGCCTGCAATTATAATTACAGTCAAAGGGCTTAAGGTTTCCAAAGAGTATTAACCACGTTCAACTCAACTAAAATCATCAGACACTGAAATGCAATAAAGAAGCACTCAGCGCTTGAAAGAGCAGGCCCCAAATAAGGGGCAGACATACTGCAAAAAGAGAAATTAATTTGGCATTGTACTGGAAAGCCTGCAGTTTCCTTTCTTGGCAGTAATGCAAGACCTCTGGATAGAGCCAAGAAATTCCCTGCAGCAGCCTCTATGGAAAACATTAAACAAAGCCTCACTTGCGGAGTAAGACGAATATTGTCATCTCGCACAAATCCAGAATTTGAGTTGTATTTGATGTATTTGCCCTCAATGTAATGTTCCAGATGAAAAAGAGGCTTTCCAGGTCTGTTCTTCATTTCGATAATACAGGTCTGTACTATATCCACCTGCGGAGAGAGAGAAAATAAACAATGACTAACAGAATACTGTCTTCAGATCACAGTGTGTGTGAATCCTCCAGCTGTGAAAACTTTCCCAATGAAAGAAGCTGAACAATTGCAGAGATCCGTCTGTTTAACAACGGGATGGGGGAAGAATCACATGCTTCCTAGGTTATTGGAGGAATTCCATAAATTAAAAGCAGTCACTTCAAAACAGCTCACTTCTGCAACAAATCCCTCTGAAAAATTCTTAGTAAGTGTTGGCTTTCTATTTTATTTTTGTGGGTACCTTGAAAGTACACTGCAAAGAGTCTATACCCAGAGAGCAAAACATACAAGTAACTACTGCACAACTTGAAGAAATGCCTCTTCAGAGAAGGACTGAAGACTTCTACCATTCAGATATTTCTGTATCCTGCCTCACCTCCTCCCTCTGTCCCAGACACATTCCTAAAGGACAAACCATCACAACTCTCACTTTGCTTACATTTTTTCCCCCACATAGCATTTAAAGCTTTTAGATTTCTAGATTCCTCTCTGTGCCCTTCACTCTATACCTCACCTTGCTCTTGTGAGACAGGTAGTTATTAACTCCCCTCATATGGGAGGCAATGCACATAGTCCACATATTCAAAAGCACTCCTTTTGACTATTAAATTGTTAAGGCCCCCACACTGAGGCATACTTCTTGACCCAAGCATCTTGTCACATGTCACACACAGTCTGTAGTACAGCCAAGAGCAGGAACCACGATAACACAGTGCATGTACAGCACACTTCCTGTGTGGTGGAAGCTGCCTCTTCCACCCATTTGAAGTCATAGTTACACTCAGGCATTCGGTACCAGCTGGAGATTAAAGGGATTTGACAACTTCATTGATACCTACCATGGACATACTCAGCAAAGAGGAGTTACTGGCTGGGAGTGAATGACAGTTGCAGTCCTTCCCTGCACTTTAGTTTCTTGTCTGTTAACAAGCTGATTGCTGCTGGAGGTGTTTTTGACCAGGACGTAGTGGCCAGCTTTGGCCAGCAGCTATCCAACTTACCAGCGTGGAAAAGCGCAAAGCTATGTTGGCTGCACAAAATGTTTAGCATGGACCCCAGAACCAGAAGTACAGCCAGCAAAGCAGTAGAACCGCCTCTTCCTGAATCCTATGTGTTTATGCACATCCCTAGCACAGAGGATGGGAACTTCTCTTGATACCCTGAGCCCAGTCTGATATTCCATCCACCTGGGAGTTACATACATCTTAATGCTTTGCACTTAACACAATGTGCTAGTATTGTCACTGAGATACCTAAAGGAAACAAAACCATAGTATCCTCATTTTTTGGAAAATTCTTGACCACTCCTCAGAGGTCTGTATTTGAATAGCTTCGTAAAGTTATTCAGGTTTCCAGCTCTTCTTAAAAATCAATGCTAGTTAGGTGTTTAGTTAGGTTTACAAGATTTAAGCATCTACCCTCCTGGAGCACTAACAGTTAAGTGCTTGCTGAGACTGCTGCTGGCAATAAATTCTGTGACATCTTTGGTTATCTCAAAAGCAGCTGGACAAATATCAAAAAGAGCAATACAAACACCGTTTTATTTTGGTCTTCAGTCAACAGCTGAGAACAGTCAGACATTCACAAACACACATCCCCCAATTCTGGAAATATAAAGCAATTTCTGCATTTACTTCATTAAAAATCAGCTACCATTGAATGGAAAACACAGTAAGGCAGAAGAATCTATCTAAGCAATTAAATTCAATGGAACGTGAACAAGTAATTCCCTCCTAATTCATCTGAAAACTAACCTAATAGAAGAGCAAGACCACATTTTTGCTTAGCAAGACCTTTGAATGTACCTGTTTTGGTGGCTTGTGCCGGTTGTACTCTTCTCCCCAGAGTTTTGCTTCCATCTGAAGTCGGACATCCTCAAAATACACATCCCTGCCCACACTCTCTATGTATTGCTTGGCAACATAGTTATAGGCACCTTTCCAGTTCTGTGTGTGTAAGAAGTTGGACAGCTTTTTCCTGAAAGATAAACCAATCGATGAAGGGAAAACCAAGAATTTTAAGTCAATATTCCCTATTTCTTTGCCTGCATGGACAGAGCCAGGCCCCAAGATCAGCATTACCCTCAGTCATTTACCAGATACTCTAGCTGAAAAGTGAAGCACAGGTAGGAGGCAAGGGAAAAAGCAACATCCCGTATGAATGGCTGGGACGTGCCAAAGTGCCTGTTTGGTTTGACTGCAGCTACTTCTACTCTGAACTTCCTCCCTTTCTCATTTCCCTTCCCTCCCCACTTCCTTCAAACCCAGAGTATGAAGGGTTGGTGCCACCTCCACACCCTGTTCTAGTGTCAACAGTTATTTTCTGCAGAAATTAACAGGGAGTGGCCTTTCAAACATGAATTGAGAGGAGAAAACCCTCTCCTATGATAAGAGCAAACTGCTGCCTTCTCAACACACAGGGATGACTACTTAGTATCCCCCATAACCCCAGAAGGAAAACTGCACAACAGTTCTCCTTATGATGTAGCTGTTAACTTTTGTTAATGTGTAAATCTTTAATCCACAGATCTCTCAAGAGCAGGGGAAAGAGAGGGGGGAAAAAAAAAAGGACTTTAGGACTTTGACAACAGAGAATCTGCTGGCTGTCAACAAATGGATTAAGCAGGTACCCAGTGGTTGCAGAAGATGCCAACATTCAAGTCAAATGAGGAAAAAAACCCCATTGTTATCAAGAATTTCAAAGCAGACACAGCCTTCTTTCCTAGAGCAACCTCATCCATTTATATGGGACACAAGGGGGAAAGCACTTCTCCCCCCCCCACCCCCCAAGAACTTAATTCAACAGAGAAGATGGCAAAAAGGTATAAAAACCCTCTACTGTGGCAGCAGTGGTATTGCTGGAGACCCCAGCAATGCCAAACCAGTCTGAAGGGGGAGGACTACAAAGAGGAGTATCTAGATAAGGCACAGCTGGCTACCGAGCAGTTCTCATATTCTGCTCAGTAACAAACAATGGTTCTATGAGCTCTTCTTGGTGCCATGGCAAATTGCACATTTTGAGAACCAAATAGCAGCACTCGAAGTCTCAGCACTCCCCCTCCTTCCTTTCCTCTCTCCCTCCCAAGACCTTGGTGCAGAGGCAGAAGTACAGGGATGCTCTAAAGGCAAAGCAACTCCAGATTGTCTGTCCTCCTGCAGGGATAGGCAGACAGTCACTATAACATAGGCCTTGGGAAGAAGGAAAAAGCAAGTGAAATAAGAATTCTGGACAGGATTTGGAACCTTTCCAGTTCTCTGAAGAAACAAATCTCTGCATAAAACAAGCCAGCTCATGCACTCTTCCAAAGCCAACACTCTCTGAAGGTCATTGAGCCAAGTGCAGATAATGCTGTCACTGTAATGACTAAAGACTTGCAGAGTTGCAAAAATCTAGAAGAGAGCGCTCCTGATGGGAAATATCAGTGCACCACAGAGTTAGGGAAAATCCAGGAGTAGGAAGCTGACATACAAGTTACGTTTTCTTTGTATAACAGGTTAAGGCAAAGCTGCAAAGATAAATTTCTGTTTATGGTACTACTCAAGATATTCTGTAAAGGGGAATTTGGTCATTCAGAAACAAGAGCTAAAAGCGACGTCAGCAGCAATGTCAGCAGGCTAAGGTTTGTTACTTCCTAGGCTTCAATCACTGCTGTCTCTATCTGGCTTTGCAAGAACAGAGCCACCAGCATGAACTGATACTGAAACAATGCCAAACAGGAGGACTGAGGGGTGACTTTTCCCCCTTTTTCCTCAAGTTCAAAACACGTTTTGTCATTCAGGAGTTTCTCTCTTTCCAGAAGTGAAACCAGACATGAAATGCAATTTCTCTGGATTTTGCAGTTGAAAAGAGCAGGGAGCAGCCTTAAACACGCACATTTTCCAGGAAACATTCATTTCCAGAGCCTGGAAAGGGTGGGGTACTCTTCTAGCACGAACTGATTTATAGCTAGATGCTGATGCCTGCAACCATATTTGCTAACACTCTTTGAGGAAAGAAAAGTTCCTCCTCTTGTCTTCCCCCATACTTTACCCTTCTGGAAGAAGTAACTGTCAGTATCCAAGCTCTGCCTTACTCAGAACAGGATTATTCTGGTACACATGATCCGAAGTAAACCCTGGGAGGATAACCTTCTTTACCAAGGGAGGCTTTCTGAGTTGAGATTGCACCATCCAACTATTCTTTCCCCTTTTCTCTGCCTAACTATAGGCCTCAAGTTGGCCTTCAGGCTGCACACACCTACGGCCTCATATCAAATTCAAAGATATTTTAGCAGACTAGGAACACAGAAACAAAGTAGTTGCTTCTGTACTTTTATGAGTATTTTGCCTCCAACAGATGGTGGAAATAGCATAAATTTATGAATTGCTAATTGATAGGCTGATTATACTTGCTGGAACTGGACATGATTGCATGTTATCCATCCCACTGCAGTTCCAGTACAGGCAATGGCTTGACTTTCTGTCCTGGTTTCGGCAGGGATAGAGTTAATTTCCTTCCTAGTAGCTGGTACAATGTTGTGTTTTGGATTTAGGATGAGAACAAAGTTGATAAGGCACCAATGTTTTAGTTGTTGCTAGGTAGTGCTTACACTAGCCAAGGACTTTTTAGTTTCCCATGCTCTACCGACTGAGAAGACTGGAGGTGCACAAGAAGCTGGGAGGGGGCACAGCCAGGACAGCTGACCCCAACTGGCCAAAGGGACATTCCATACCATGGGACGTCATGCTCAGTACATAAACTGGGGAAAGCTGGCTGGGGGGGCTGCTGCTCGGGGACTGGCTGGGCATCGGTCGGCAGGTGGTGAGCAATTGCACTGTGCATCACTTGCTTTGTGTATTATTATTATTATCATAATTATTACATTATTATTATTATCGTTATTTCAATTATTAAAGTGTTTTTATCTCAACCCACGAGTTTTCTCACTTCTACCCTTCCAATTCTCTCCCCCATCCCAGCGGGGGGGGAGAAGTGAGTGAGTGGCTGTGTGGTGCTGCGTTGCTGACTGAGGTTAAACCACGACACTTTCCAAAGCAAGCTCACTGGATGCCTGCATCATACTTGCTTGTGCTTCCCTTAAGAGAATGTTCTGCTTTCTGAACCCCACTCCCTGTGCTGCGGCTGGAGTCACACAAACAAGAATAAACCCCTCAGCTAATGCCTTTTAGAAAGGCACAGCAGGGAGCTAATGGGGAGCCCCACTTTACACATTTTCCACCACACGTAAGTGAAATTCCAGTCACCACAGAAGAAAATACTGTATGGAGGCCAACAAAGATAAAGCCAGCAGATACTTACGTTCTGAAACACTCTCGCATTGCTCCACGGCCAAAAGGCTAGGGAAAAGAAAAAAGAAAAAACAAAAACCCAGCATTGCCATTTACCACAAAGTTAATTTCTATCCAGTAAGAGACTCAACCATGTCTCTGCCCTTTATATCCTGCAGAAAGCAGTTCTCAAACAGGCTCTATACAGTATCTGTCTCCTCAAAGAAAAGTGAAAACCCACTGGCAGTGTAAGTAGGAATCTGGGGAAAAGACACTGGGAATAAGCCCCCCCCCTCAATATCCCATGGAGCAGACATGATATGACTTTTAAAGAAGCTATTTAAATTCTCCCTCCAGTTTAGAGTCAGCTCTGTTGTGACCGCCTAGAGAAGGCTGGCTTCATAGACCTCATGCTCTCCCCATTTAGGCTTCCATACAGGATGTGCCAAACAGAGCATCACCTTGCCAGATGCCAGGTACTACGTCAGTAGCACAGAGCAAGGCAATTCCAACACACCACCAACCCCATGATTTAATTGGGAAGTGACAGTAGCTCCTACCCTCACATACCAAAAACTCAGTCCGTTTTCATCCTAAGAACAGAAATTATTTGGAAGCACACAAAATAGTAAGGACTATTGCCAGGCAGGGAGCTAAGGCCAGCAGGAAATGGGAGGGAGATCACTGGGAAAGGAACAAACGCCTCATGTTGCTGATGGGAAAGGGCTGACTCCATGTTCTACTCTACTCTGGGGAGAAAAGGCTGTTGGGACACCAAAACATAATGGATGAGCCGAGGAAAAAGAGAGGTAGGAGAAAAGAATAACATTGAGACTTCAAAACTTCTATACGAGGAAAACATCTTGCTGCCACTATTCAGTAACAGGAAGGAAATGACAAATTTGGCTGCTAATAAACATGAAGGACAATGATCTTACTTGTGAAGCCATCTTGATGAGAACTTCATCTTCAACCCAGTCCCCAGTAACTGCATTGTACCTGCAAAATTGGGAGATGTGCCTCTTAGAAAAATGCAGAGGAAACACAAATCCTCCCATCCCCAGTGCCTACCCTTCCTTATCTCCAGCCGACTGCTAAAAAGTGCTGCTGCCACTTCAGCACAAAAACTTCTAGTCTTCCCACCACACTCCTGCCCTCCTTACTTTGGGCAGGAAAGGAGAAATATGTATAGCTCTTTGAAGAGACACTGAATCCTACTGACAATGAACAGATTCCACTGCAGAAGCTAAACTTTTGCAACACTACAAATTAGGCTTTATCTGCCTTGACATTAAATCTCCTTCATGATGCACAGGCAGTACACTGGGGGCAGAAAGAGCCTTACCAAGCCTTACACACTGTACAGGTTGTCTCCCCCAACCCTGGGCTTCATAAACCTGGTTCTGGCTGGGGATTTGCTGCAGGGCTGTGGAGGATGTGAGCAGAACGCAGCACCAGCTGTGGCTGTGAAAAGCAGCGGGGCCAAGAACTGCCCAACACTATACCAAGGGAGGAGCAAGTCTGCACAACCTTATTGCAACACAAAGAGTACGACTGTGGTTTCTCCCCACCCCCTTAACTCCCAACACAGTAAAAGCCAAATTGAGAACGACAGCAGTTGAGTCACTAACATGTGATTGTTTCCAGCCCGATTTCCCCGACCTGCACCAAGTACTTGATGCATGCAGATATCCCCTACGCCCCCTTAGATATTCTGTACCACCCCAGTTTGCAGCAGACAAAAGAGGTGGAAATAGGAATATCAGAGCCATCTCTTTTTAATAGGGTAGTAGCCCTAAACCAATATTATCACTTGTATTTTAAAATATGCAAACTATTTTAGGACTGTATGGCTGACCAGGGACAGATGCAGTCTATGGGGAAGAAGAGCGCTGCGTGACAGTGTTATGTGATTGGAAGGGAGGCCTCCCCAAACACTGACGCTAAGTGGTAATTAACTGGCCTCTAACTCCTACCCCTTCCACCTAGAAACCTGTGTCAGTAGGGTAAACGTTTTGGCAAAGCCTGTGCTAAAGCACTGAGAATAGTTTAAGGGCCAAACTCAGTTTCAGCACGTACACCATGCTGAGCTATTCTAGGCTTTACAAGGATTTAAATTCCAGCCACATGCTGCAATACTGCATGGACAGGCAACAGTGACACTGATATTTTGGGAAAGGCACAGAGTGTTATGTTGCTTTTTTTTCCTAAACTATTTAAACTAAGTATGCTGCCTCTTTATGGGGATTCATTTCCTTATTAGATTAAGTTTACAGCATTAATAAATCAACTAGAAAATACTTTTCAGCCTTGTTTCCTGTCTACATGGTGAAACTCATAGATACTACTTAGGTGGGAGAGAGAGAAAGAATGTGACACTGGTTTGCTGAAAGGTTTATTTTTTGATGATGTGCAGTATTTACATATTCCTGGGAGATTCAGTTAAGACATGCTCACTTTGGGCATTATTGAAAGTTCTTCAGCCATGTAATTACACATATTCTGCACTACACAAACACAGCCCTTGCATAAACGAGCACATTCTGTTTAACATCAGCATTAAAAGCAGAAAGACCCACAGACCTGTAACGAGTGGCTTGTTCCATCTCAATGTCCTCAAGATGAAATTCTGCCCACGGATCAGGCATGTGCTTAGCTTTCTGAATAGCATGTTTCCAGGTTTCCTGAAGAAGTTACAAACTGGCAGGTTATTTATAATCAGCAGCAACTCATGACAACGGCATTTTCTAGAGCACATCAGGATCCTAATGCTATGAAGATGTGCAACTACACAAACCCCCAAAGCACTATTCAGAGCAGGGACCAAGCAGTACAGAAGACCACGATGACATTTTATAGCTTCAAATATAATGAAACACAGTTCAGAAATATAAAGCATCAGGTTTCGGTTCAATTTGCACCATCATAAAGTTACTGAGAACAGAATCTGGTCTAGTATATACCAAATATAATTTGCAAAACCTGTTGTAATTTACAAATATCTCTAACATATGCTGCAAACAGTGGTAAGTCACACCTAGATGATATTAATTCACTTTTACGGTTTTGATTTTTAACTTTTTGTAACGAACAGCATATGCTGGCAGTGTAAGCGTAAAAAAGTCCATTAGTGATAGAGCAATACAGACGAAGAAAAGAAGTTCTGTAAACCCCAAGGCTCCCAAATTGTGCTCAGCGTAAGAAAGAAGAAATTAGAATGTTGTAAAAATGGATTATTATAACAATTCCAGACAAGTAGCTACTTCAATCTCCACCAATTCAACAGTAAAAAAAATCAAAGGAGTTTTCTGGAATATAAACAGTCTCTCTCTAGGAGCCAATTTGGATGCTTTTCTCTTAACATTTTGATCTCCCTCTTTTTACATTGTACTGTTCCAAGAGAACTGGAGATATGTTCCTGTGATGTGCCAAAGGCCTTCTGCAAGGTGAGCAGGAGAAAAGGCAACTCTGCACCCCTGCCAGTAAAGAAATACTGAGCTCTGAGATTTTGTTACTGCCTCTGACTGAATTTCAAGTATGCAGAAACAGTAACTTTTAAAATATTGGGGCTTTTTTCCTTTCAAATTTAAATCTCAGTCAAAACTTTTTAAAAAAATACAGTATAAGTTGGTGTCAGCAATGACATCACGAAGTTTTTGAAGCAGCTGAGCTTTTAAATTGTTCATGTTTATTTTTATTTCAGCTGTAAATCTGCATACCTTGCAAACAATTTAAATGCTCCCCTTTCTGACAATAAAACCACAAAATGAACACAATACTACAACAAATAAAACAAGTTTAAAAGATATGCTGAGAAAGATTTCCTACATGTTTCATAAGAAAATGAAGTTGCCTCAGATCATGTGATGATACACATTTCATACGGACCTGGGAACTTCCATACTTGAATATATATATGAAAGAAATGGAGAGACAGAAACAAGTAGAATTGCTTGGTCAATTATCTACGTCGAATCGTTCTTGAGTAGGGTCCCTCTCCAAAAGGTGATCTGTGTCCATGCTAGGTAATGATTTAAATAAATTAATTACTTGTGCTTGCTCTTGTGAGGTGCTTTGTACAAAAGCTGTATTCTAATCTTAAAACAAACAGAAGTTGGACTTCATGGAAATGGTGCTAACAGTGCAATTTTTCTCCTGCTGTAGGCATATGGCTGCCATACAAACTAAGTAGATGTCTTGCATCCATTCTATTCTTGTCCACAGTAGGAAATGCTGTGAAGAAACAACTACATCTATGTTCTTTAAAAGAAGTGATATGTCAGGGCAAAGAACAAAAGATGGGTATTATTTCATTTAACAGATATCTTTTTTAGTTTTGACTTGATGACTTTTATGGGCTGAGGCAAGCAGTTCTCCCAGACAATAAAATAATGAACAAAAAAACGGCCATAAAAGGAAAAAAAACAAAACAAAAAAAATCTTAATGCATCTATTAGATATGGTGTTCACATTTTCTTTTTAACCTACCCGACTATGGTCAACCACAGAGCCGTGCTTAGAACGATGCTGTGTGTCATTCTAAAGGATGCATGAGAAACATAAAAGTAGGAAAATACATGTGGTAAGACAAATGATTGACAAAGAGTCTCTGTTCTCTTTGTTAATTAGAAAAAAAAATTTCCACTTAAAAGCCACTTTTCAAATTATATTCCTAATTTAAGTTCATTCTTAGAACGTCTTTGAACAAACCTATTGAGCTAAATTGGCAACTTTTTTATTGGAAAACGTGTTAAAAGGGTCTTGCCTATTAACTAACTAATTAAACATTGCTGAGTCCTGTTTAAAGGCAGCGAGTTAATAGTAACACTTCTATCTGTCTCTGCATTTCATTATCAATGGCCCACACTGCCATTAGCTTTGGGGTCGAGAGGTGGACTCTTATCAGACCAGGCTGTGGTGCCTTAAGATGTTATCAGTTCTGTCTGTCTGCTTCACTCTGTGTTGGAAGTCACCATTTCTGCAGCTTAAGCAGCAGATGGAGATTTGCTTGCTCCACATCTCAATCCAATGCATTTTATCTATGATAAGAGCTAAAATGCCAAACTAGAAGTGTGGAGCCCAAAGCACGGGCACATATATTCTGCAGAAGCAACATGATAGCTTAGGAAGGAGGAAATAATTGCAGTTTCTTAAGTCCTTATCAGTTTTATCTCAGGCCACATGACTCAGAACTCACGCTGCAAACCCAGAGGCAAGTGTTCAGTAGTGCTAAAATGCACACACAAATGAAGACTAAGCTCCCTATCAGGTCTTAACTTGCTTAGCATAGCATACACTAAAATCTGTCCCCTTGTCTATACCAAACTTTTACTCTTCACCTTCCTTAGGAATATGTACCTTTTAATGTTTCTATTAACTAGCCTTGGTGAAAATCTTACTGCAGACAAGACAGTTTCACTTTTAACATGTTACTTAATATGTTAGCTGACTGAAATAAACTATCTGGTATCTCTCCAGGAATAAAGCATGCATTAGGCATAACCAAGATTTTAGAGTATCTGTTAAATAAATGTTAATATTTATAACAAGAAATGTGTTAATAAAACACATTAAATCCTAGTCTAGACAAAATCTAAGAGACATGCTAGTTTACCACAAATGCTACATATGTGGAATATCTAACCTATAGAGTGAATGTCACTTGCATTCTTGAGGCTCCATTGCCTGTGGGTTCATCTCCCTTTGCCTGGCGTGATCTGTGCAAAGGGAGCCGAGTGGAACAGAACACACTGCCAAGGAAGCACCAACTATGGCCCCTTTGACCTCTCTGCAATGCTGTGATTGCTGTTCATTTTAAAACAATCAGATACTACTTGACTACACTGTCAGGAGCTACTGCCAGTCTGACACTTCATGCCCAAGCATGAGAGTCAACATGTTAAAAGCTCCCCAAGAAGGAACTATAACCTGAAAACCTATCATTACAATTTTGTCATTTACAATTTTATTTCTCCAAATAAAAATATTATGGATTGTTAGCTCTGCTTGGCAAAATCCATAATAAAATACCTTCTGCCAGGCCCCGATTTAGCTGACAACAAGCATCATCTTTTAAATCTCCCAATCAACGTATTGCTTTTTTAATGGTTTGATCATAATGGCAGTGAATTGCTCGCTTGGAATCTGCTGCCTTTGTAGATGAAAATCTCCCACTGAACTAAAAGGGACAGTAAGCAATTCAATGGCAGTGTCAGACTATTGGCTTAATGGAATTAACTGCAGGTCTGGAAAAAACAGATGCATTTTTTTACTGAAAAGTGTTAGTTACAAGAGATGAAGCAATTAGAGAATCTCTCATGCCAACTACTTAGTTGGCAAACCAAACCCAAAACCTTACTGAAGGCTGGAGCCAATACTTACCTTAAAGCTAAAAGAGTTTCTAGGAGAAGAGCTTGAACTGTACTGTTCAGTTTTTGCTAAGTTGCTATAATAATTGTCAACTTTGATACTAGCAGACTTGTTAGAAACTGGATCATCAGTTATTGGACAGATAAAATAATTGTCTTCATCATCACTATCAGCATCAAGATAATTTCCAGAATTCGCTGTAGTCGATCTAGCATTATCAATCCCTTCCATACGAAAAATAAGGTCCTCGTCTGCCATGTTTGTGGGAGGTCGGTTTAACTCCTGGAATGATTAAAACAGCCACTATTCCAACACACATGCAAATGGTGGGAAGAAGCTGGGTGGGAGAAAAAAAAAAAGGGTTGTTATTAAAAGAACAAATGATGCACGAAACTGACATCAGCACACTGGCAGAAAAAAAAATCATTTGCATATATCTCTATAAAAATGATCCCCAAGTACCTACATGTGGTTTTGAACACCTCAGTGCTAGATCTGGGTTTCCAGAAAGCACTCAGTTTTTAAATTGCTACAAGACTGAGAAAAGAAGATAACCAAGTATAGAATAATACTACAAAATCTGAGGGACTGCAAACACCACCTGCTGCCTATGGCTGACATAGTTAACGCTCCTATCTCCTCCTCTGAATGTTTTAATTCTTCCTTATCTGAAATGCTGAGTTTCACAACACTGGTCTTAGAAACTCAAGGGAGTTTTACCTTGAACACCACAGTCAGGTTTTCAAATTTTTTCAGGACAAGCCTTCTCAAGGATAATGCATACAAAATTAATAGCCAAAGGAATTAGAGAGTATTATTGGGACAATATAGAAAATTGTCCCATCATTGCCAAGATTTAAGTTGGCTTTTAGCTCATACACAGCCAACGGTCCACAGTGCAAAGCATGCTGCTGAAAGTGCAAAGCACGTTGCCCAGGCTACCCAGGACGTCCTCGGAAGGACAAAGTACAAAAGAGGCCAAGAAAGGAGGCCTGCCTTTCCACTGCTGCTGCCCAAGTGCACTCACTAGTAGACTAGAGAGACAAAAGGACATATGTGTAAGGGGTACCTCAACCCTTCTGTCTTTTACATTCTGTGAAGGGATTTCACTTTGGACCAGTCTTGTGTGATCTAAACAATCCTCTTCCAACTCCAAAGACAGCAGATATGACAGCCTGCTCAACAGCATCAAGTCTCTGAGCTGTGTTAGCTTTAAGCACAGAGCTTAAAGGAAAAAATATTCTCCCTGGTTAATAGTTCTTTTCCAAAGAGGTTAGAAAGTTTGATTTTGTCACTGGTTATTTCAACTTTTTAGTAGCTTCCTGGATCCTAAGAGAACAGAATAGGTAGGGTTTGGCTTCTCCTGTGTCCTAGCTCCAAAGTAAACTAAGCAAATTGAAAGTAAAAGCAACAGTGTGAGGCAGACAGGTCATGGGTTTTTATTAAAATCTGATCAACTATTTCTAAGCCCAGAAGGTAAGATTCTAGGTAAGTATTTCACTGAAGCATTCTGACACATTAAACAGTGTTAGAGTAAACAATACGGGGAGTTCCATACAGGTATCAAAACTGCAGCTCTGCAAAGCCTCCCGTCTTATGGTAACTTTTCCAAATTAGTGACACCAGTTTCAGGGAGGCAGAGCACAGACACTGCACAGCCTGACTGCTGCAATAGAGATGCGTTATAAAAAAAGATAGGTGAATCATGGCAGTATTTTTCCTGGAGCTCAGGTTCCACCCCTGGAGATCTTACAAGAAGAACATGCCCAGCAGCCTCCACCCAAGAAACAGTTTATGATGATTCAGCAGAACTCAAACAGAAACAAACTCCTACAGTCCCAGGCTACGGAAGGCGAGTATTCTGTCTTTCACACATGACCAGCCATACAGATGCAAACAGTTTCCATTCTTCCGCATTTCACAGTCCAGAGCCACTGCCAGCAGGACACCAATGCTGACTTTCAGAGAGAAGAGTTTGCCAGTCTCTAGACCGATAAAGTCACCCCACAACACAGCTTCAGCAAGGAGGCCTCTGAAACACAAGAGGGCAGGTGGCCATGACACCCCTGGAGTAGAGTAACATTGCACCTTCTGTGCAAGGGCTCATTTTAGTCCATCGTATATAATATACGCTGTCAAGCAGAAGGCTAGGGATATATGCCTGAGTAGGAAACTGGTGTTACCTGCCAGGATCCCTGCCTCCCGTTCAGCGTGGTGCCTTTGCTTCACAGTGCTTCTCTATAGCTCAGGCTCCCTTTCCACATGCCAGGCTATTTCCCGGATACTCTTGCACTTAAAGCTCTTTTTTTCCTCTGAACTC